CCAGCGCCACTCTTTTTTTAATCGTTGCCTACACAACGACCAGAACCGCGTTCTTCAGAAGAGCAAGTCATACGAGTCACCAGTAGTTCTTTCGGCAGACTCAGAGGAGGAGTCTATCTACCACTGAAGTGGATAGACATTCAAGCTTGGAATACGGTCACCGATTTGTTCAGGACATCCCTGACCTTCATCTTCAAACAGATGCATCACTGGTGCAAACGGAGGATGGGGTGCGTGCTTCGGCGAGACCGAAGCGGGAGGGCGCTGAACTCGCCAAGAAAAGTTCAATCACATCAAGTATTTGGATCTTCTGTCAGTGTGGTATGTACTCAAGTCGCTTTTGGTCCGTTGCAGCAACAAACATACCGGTATTCGTGTACACAAGGACGGTACTTCGACAGTGGCATACATTTCTCACAAGGGAGGAACACACAACCAACAGTTGTCACGTCTGGCGGTACGGATTTGGGTTTGGTGTCTCTATTGGGGCATAGCGATCTCGGCAGATAGAGCATCTTCCGGGGTCACAGAATGCCACAGCGAACATGATGTCAAGGTAGTTCGACGACAGTGCCGAATCTTCTTCCTCAAATCTTCTAGGAGGATCATGAACAGCTTTGAATTCCAGCCAGAAGTTGACCTATTTGAAACCAGGCTAAACACCCAGCTTCAGAGGTTTGTCTCTTGGAGACCCGATCCCCCGGCTTGGGCTGTGAACGCTTTGATGCTGACCTGGACTAACATACTAGGTTACGCGTTTCCCCTTTTGCACTCTTAGCCAGTTACTTTCAAAAAGTGGTCAGAGACAGAGCAGAAGTAGTTCTGATAGCTCCTGTCTGGAAGACGCAACCTTACTACCCGTTACTATTACAACTAACTATTTGCAACCCTCTCCTCCTGCCAAGGCGTTCCGATCTTCTACGCCTACCGCACAACCTCGAACAACATCCACTAGCACACAACATGCAACTAGTCGCGTGGAGGTTATCCGGCAAACCATGGCAACAGGAGGCATTCCACCTAACGTGTCCGACACAATTTTGTCATCCTGGAGGCAAAATACTCACAAACAATTCAATTCTGCATGGAGACGCTGGTGTGGCTGCACGGTGTTGTATATGGAAAGTTGATCCTGTTCAGGCTTTTGTAACAAAAAAGTGTTATCCATTTTATCAAAAGTTGCCTGATAATGGTCTCCAGTACAGGACAACACGCTCGATGTTTATATTGATTTGTTGATGGAAAGCCCATTGTTTAACACAATTTAATCAACAGATTTTTCAAAGGTGTCTTTAATTTAAGACCCCGTAAATTGAGTTTTAATACTACCTGGGATTTCAGTGTTGTTTTGAGATATTTAAAAGGACTCCCTGACAACCGTCGACTCAACATAATACAGCTTTCGCAGAAATTGGCCATGTTGATAGCCCTTGTGGCAGCTGGCAGATGTTCATTTTGACAACTTTAGACATCTCCTTCTTAAGCAGAGAACAAGATGCTACTTGTGTGTTCTGTCTATAAAAGTTAGCCGAGTGTGCTTCAGTGCAGCGACCAAGTAGAGAAACTGTTCTCCGTAAATTCGGCGCTCATATGAATATCTAGATCGCACAAGTTCTCTGCGGGGTGTGGGAGTACGAAATTCACGCAACTTTTCATTTCTTGAAAACCGTATCACCCAGTTGTGTCATCAACCATTGCACGTTGGTTGAAACATAGTTGAAATCAATCATGGCCGATGATGGTATTGACACCCCGTGCTATAAAGCACACTGTACTAGAGGCGCATCGTCCTCAGCGGCAAAACGCACAGGTGCTACTACGGTCGACATTCTGAAGACAGCAGACTAGTCTTCATCGAAGACGGTTGCAGGCTTTTACTGCATACATCCTGACACGACGAAAAATGATCAAGGAGTGCTGGCATCGGCTTAGATTGCAGGTGTGCTTAAAAGTATGGTGTACTAATTACTACAAACATTTCTCTCTCTCTCTTTAGCCTCCATCCAGGCGACGCAACTACACCACGCGACGACATGACGGCTCCCTTGCGGCGTGCCGTCGGGTCGCACCGTCGCCTTCTTGCCATTACGTTTGTACACACACGACGCGTCGCGTTGTTGTTGCGTCGTGCCGTTGCCCGTCGCGTCGTGCTGTCTTAGGTCCTTCCCATGTTGCTTTTTTTCCTCCCTAAACGTCGTCCCTTCCGTCACCCATCACGTCGTACCGTCGTGCGTGGCGTCGTACTTCGTGTCGTGCATCGCGTCGCCTATTACGTCGCCTGAAGCACGACGCAACGCACGCCACAACGCACGACAAGAAACGCGTCGTGTGTTGTCGCCCTTTGCTTCATTGTGTTTATAGAGGGCGTTTTTACTGTTTTCTTTTCATTTCCGTTCCCGTGCTTGTAAAGTACATGCTATTTGCTCTTTGGTGTTGATTTTTTCTTGTTTTTATCTCATCCATTCATTGACTAGAATTAATTTCTGTCATATTTTATTGAGAAAATGACAAAAAGAGCAAAAAGAAAATCCACATATGTAGGAACTGCTCTCTCCTAAATAGTGGAAGCCCGGAATTCGTCACTCTTTCAGCCCAGCCAATGATTTCTTTTCAGTACCGTCGATGAAGTCCCCATTTTGTGGTAGATTTGTAACCTTAGAGATGTCGATGTTTCTCTGTGGTCCATTCCGGTAATTTCTAAGTAGTACTCCCAGTTCTCCAGCCAATTTGTCTACAATTGTACGGCCGAAAGTTTGACTACGGGTTTAGGAAGTTATCAGCAAGCCTACTCTATTATACCATCAGAATGTTCCGTCTTAGTCTTCCTTTAGGTCAGGGATTCCAAACAATGAAGTTGCAATATCTGAAAAGAAGAGTTAGCAGTACAGGAGAGCGAAATAGGTGAACGGATTTTGGGAGCACATTTAAACAAATACTGGCAATGTAAGTGCGTTGCGCGTAATGCGCACTGGACGCGCTACCATCCGTCGCTTCGCTCATCAAAATCACGGTTTTACGCGCAAGACTGGCGGTCTTTGCGTTTCAGAATTAGAGAAGGAAAAGCTAAGACGTCGTTGTGGCTGACGTTAATGTCATTTATTTCCTGGAGACAATGCTGATAGGTGGTCACGACGCTCTTTTAATTACATTTAATTACAAAACAAAAACCAAACAAAAACAAACAAACAAACAAACAAACAAAAAACAACTCACTCTTAATGAAAATACAAAGTTAGAAAGAATGCATGAAAAACAACAGAAACAAGACCTGCTCCCTGGGAGCGAGGTTGCACTGACCATTCCTGCGTGTTTCTAAAGTATACGCCGAACCGCACCGTGTATGCATTTCGAGGAAGGTGGACTATACACCAAGAGTTTGCAACATACTGATCAATCATAAGGTGCTAAATCTGTCGACCCAATGCGCGTTTGGAAAGGGTCGACGGATTTCGTGCATTGTGATAGGCCAACGCGTTGCAAACTCTTGGAGGCGTAGGCCTACTTGTGCGAATAGCCTGTATTACCTACATGATTTCAAGTCCACGGAGCGTCTTGCCGGCACGACACAACGCATTATGTATGTACAAACGTAATGGTAAGAAGGCCACGGCGTGACGAGTCGCGGCGTAGCCAGGATTCTTGGGGGGGGGGCTTCACACTAAAGGAGGGTGACTGGGGGAGACGAATTTTTGTGGGGGGCGTGTGCCCCCCTCACGCCCCCCCCCCGTCACGCCGCTGGTGACGCAACGGCACGGTGCCAGGGAGCCCCTGTGCCTTCGCGTTGTGTAGTTGCGTCGCCTAGAGGTGCATTTATTTTATTTTATACATTTTGCCATAAATGTCACGGGTCGTGGAAAGGTCAAGACCCATATTCAAGCCACTCCCCCGTAAAATACTAATATAAATTTATTATTACCAAAAATGGGTCACTTGGGAGATATATTACCGTAGGAACGTGCACACATTTTTCAAACTTTACCGTCCCATAATTCAATACTCCCTGATCCGATCTTAACCAAACTTTGCATGTTTTCCTTTCAGACCCTAATCTATCATCTCTCAAAATATGGACAAAAAATTTTCCTCCTTTTGGTAGTTGGAGCATTAGGGAGACATTGTGTGTCCCTAATGACCGATGTCTCTCTTATGTTGAAAAATTTACCACAAAAGTCTCCCAAGTGACCTATTTGGAAATATTTACATAACAGGATAGAGACCATTTTTTTATAAATCGTGAAACAGTTTCCAGTACTAGTATTTCTTTATCGAAAAGCCCCAAATTGCGGGCCTATTTTGGAGAGAGGCGGGCGGCTATATTCAGAGATGAGCGCTTAGTTTTACTGCTGTTTTGGGGGTATCTTCCTTGAAAGGCGAATAAAAAAGATTTTCGTGTCTAACGCCCATGAATTTGAAACCAAAAGTGATCTTCTGGCCACAATCTTCAATTTCCAGTAAAACAAAGGGAGGCCAACCTCTTTACGAGAGTCAAGAGGCGGCGCTATTTCGGTCCGATTTGCATTGTTTTCTACGGGTGCGTATTTGGTGTAGTGCAACCCGAGAGAGGCAGAAATGCGTACCGTAAATATAATAGTACCGGTACATCATAATGATGGACTGTACCGTCAATGTCGAACTTCTCACCAACTGCACGTTTAAATTGAATTTATGCAGCAAAGTACATGCATACTGTACATCTTCATGGGTGAGATTTCTCATAGGCAGGAAATTCCCAAATCTCCAGAAATTGTGCAATAGTGGCTAATGCTAGTGCGCATGCGTGCATATTAAACGCATTTATATATGAATAGCCTCATTCTCAAAATATTATCACTACAAATTTTAAATATAAAAGTCGACCTGTTCAACATATCTGGAGCGGTTTATGGCAGGGCACTTTTACTTTTCATGATTTTTGTGCTTGCTAAAATTGGCTCTCCATACGCACACACGAACGTTATCTGATCAAATGCATGATCGACTCATTCAACGGCTCACACAACTGAGCTTACCACCGTCCCGCACCCAGTGTAGATGGTTGGCGCCCGGTTAACCGTTGACGAAATCTATCGCAGACCACTGGCAGATTTGTTACCACACTGAACTGGAAGAAGTAAGTGAAAAACATCTTTTAACAATACTGACTTTGCAAGGAAAGAAAAACTGCGAATCTAAAAGCCGGTGCCGTAGCTGAAAGTTCAGGCATTTCAGTCACTAGGTCTACTATGACTATCAGAGAGACCGGCTATTCAGCTTTAGCCATTCGAATTTGTCCGAGCCCTGACCAACGTAGATATTTTAAATGGTTTCTTTCTCCTCTGACGCATTGGGCAAAACTTATCCCCCCAGAAACTTAAACGGGTACCTTATTTTCTGCAAAGAGCGCCGTTTTTTTTTGTTGGCAGCTTGGCACTTGTGACCGCTGCTACTTATTTACTGTGAAGTGATGATGCGGATAGTTGACAATCACACCCCAAATTTCCTGTATTCTTCAGCTTCTGTAGGCCTAATGAGATTAATATAATATCCTGGTTAGATTTTTATAAGAACCCGGGTAGGAGAATGGGGTTTGACGTAAATAAATCTGAGTATACACGTATTTGCTAAGCAAGGAAACAAACAGTCCGAAGTCAGGTTACCAGCTACGAAACATGTAACATTTTGTATAAAACATGGTGACTGACTCCCAGATATATTTACTTTGATAAATAATTTGCTAAGGGTGCACCCCCTCGAATAAATTCCCATAGACACCGGTGATAAATACGTATACTTCAAAATTCTTTTTAAAATACTCACAGCTCTCACAGCAGTTCAGGATGCACAGCAAAAAGTGATGATCAACATGTCTTCCATTTTCTTTAAAATTTCAGTTTTTTTGTGGGTTGACCAATGACTTTTTGAGAAATTCTCACCCATAGCAGGCGACCCCTAAAACGAAGGATATTCCCAAACTAGGAAAGTATAGCCTTTTTGAAAAAGCATCCCTCCTCAAAATGGCTAAATACTGCCACTTCCAGACTTGATTGCATCCAAATTGCTCAGAATTGGAAGCCTCAAGTCCAGACCAGAGGTTCAGTGGCGTCTGCTGCAATCCCCCAATTCCATGGCTCTCAGAACCTTCTAATATAGAGTATTATTGGGTGTATACATTTTATTAACGAGCTTAGTGGACAGATTTCTGGTCTAGTTTTTACGTGGGTACCCCTATAGGCAGTTCTCAATCTACTCCCTATTTCATGCATTTCAGAGAAGGCGAGCCGCGGCTAGAGATCCTGGGTATTCCCCGGAAAAAATGTTCAAACCCTTCTGCAACCTGAGAATAAATGTAGGACATTTGAGTCGAATTATGATTTCTTTAGTCGGTTAACGAAGGGAGGGAAGTTGTTGAACCCCCTGTCCCCAATCCGTTACTGTTATTCATGTTGAACAGTTGACTTTACTGTATGTTATTGATTTTATCATTTAACAGAGAAGTGTGGCTCTTGTCGTTTTTGCGGGCTAATGGTCTAACTACACGTTAGAAAAAACTTCACTGAGTGACGTCACACACCAAATTTCTCAGCGCGAAAAGCCATGGGAAAAACCCTGGCTTAGCAATTGCTGGGGCGTCACATTTTGCTATCCATCGCGCTCACTACGGAGCGTACATGCGGACAAGGAAAAAGTCAGAAAAGAATATTATTCACTAGCTCAAAATATCCAGTTCTTTTCATTTTTGTTCAAACTTTGTTTGCCTCAGAAGTGGAAAATAATAATTTAAAAGCCAATAAACGACGCAGTCACACACGTTATAAAGTGAAATGATGCCAGACAGACTGCGTATAACCGTTTATTTTTCTGCAATGAGTTTATCATGAGTTGACGTTACTGGAAAAAAAGCTGTCTTTGGCAAGTTTGTGTAGTCGATATATGCGGTAAATTATGTCAAGACCTTTGTGCGTTAAACGTTGTTACTGAATGATAAAGGGCGCACCTCCCTGCAGAATTAATCGTAGCTTACCCACGCGAGGTTAATTTGTAACGAACTATACACGCGAAAAGCTGCATCTGTATCCTCTACACGACCCCTTATGTCAGATAAAAATTGCTCAGACGGGGAAATCCCGTCCACACTATACCACTTCCAACAAAGAGGAAGTTCATCACGGCGACAATGGCGTCAAATAGTCGGCCATGCTTTTCTTTTTGGCGGTTGAAGTTACACAGAGCGGGAGGTGTTTGTTTGCTTGGTTTTTTTTTTTTACGTGCTGGGGAAAGTCGAGTGAAATAAATGCTATGATCGTGGCTCCGGAGAAATATGTGTATTTTTTTTCAGAGAGCGCCTAGTCCGAAATTTTTAACAAGGGAAGTTTCCACGGGACGTGAAGGCTAGTTCCTCTCAACGCTGGCAGTAAAACCATTTTCCCATAAGAAAGTAATACAGTGTATTGTCAGAAGGTTGTGTAATAAAAACTAAATGGGCGAGGAGGAAGCACCTGCCATGTCATAGCTGGTTCCTGCAGCCCTTACAGAGAGCGCTGAGAATTGACTCATGCATGGGGCAATTTTCGTCAAGCAGTGGAAAAGCAAAAAAAAAAAACAACAACAACAACAACCTGTTGGAGTTTGCCAGAGTTGCCCATTGATTCACTTCACGGTTTCAATCACAGTGTTTTCTTTCTAATCCAGATCTGCAGAATCCAACTGATTCTTCCTGTTCCTTTCTGACGTAAATCCCATGACTATTGGATGAACTTTGAATATGGTAGGTCTGAATTTAGAGTAAGGCTGCGTCTTTGAAGGGCTTCATTTCAATATGTAAATTAAGAGAATTATCAATTGTAATTAATTAACTGTCTTTATTCTGTTTTAGTCTTATGGTTAAAACGTCTCATACTTTGTGTTACGTTTCTAATCGAACATTGTAGAGAATGAATATGGCACATTTATCCGTATTTTTATAATGAGGACAAAATTAATTTGAATGCGAATTTTAACTACCCTGAGGCGCTTAAGATATAAATAAATTTGAGACTAGGAGAAGGATGAGATTTTTAAATTAAACACGACCCATTGTAAAAGCTGGCATGATGTTAAAGAATACGTTATATTAGTATCTATAACGTTCAGATAAAACCTGTTAAATAATTTTTCTTCCAGTTTTGGTTGCCAACAATTATTGCTGATAACTGCGAAGTTCACCAGACTTGTTGATTAAACATCAGGTAACGATTTTAGAAATATATTGTCATAAACGATAAATTTTCGCATCTACATTACGGAAAAACTTACAGGAACTTAATGAATAAGTATTTACATCCCCCAACACTAGGCGATTTCCAACGGACACAAGGGTTCGAATTTCATTAGACATTCATGGGGGCATCCCACCTTTCTGGTGACCAAAAAGTCGTCCGTTCCTTCCATTTTCGAAATTCTATTGTTTTTCACAGACAGACTATGTAAATAAGGGTTATTTTGTGGTCTATTTCTTGATTTTGTTTATGTTAGACACCACCTACGGTTTGTTGAGAGCGTCTCACAGTCTTCCTGACAGTATTATGGAGGGCACGTTGGAGGTACCATCCCTTGGAAGACGGATGTGCCTTGGCACGCTCTACGATTGCCGCAATCACCAGATCATCTCGCCTGGCGAGACACTCTGGGATCAGGAGACCATGAAATCTCAGAGGAAGGTCAGTGAAAAGACCAGTCACAAAGTGACCCTTATTTCATCCGATGATTTCAACGGAAAATCAAAGGCTCTAGAAATAGACGAGTCACTGAGAGCGAGCATTCTCGCCGATTTGGTGCAAACGACAGGATCGGCAAGGTTTTTGAATGACCAGCAGCCGCCAAGGGATACATGTCGCCTTACAGTGCTCTCCAAAGCCACGAGCACGTTCGAACAGCTGTCCGTGAGTCAACTAGGCAGCTGCAAAATTCAGAATTCGGATGTGTTCACTGAAGGGAAGGCAACTCATGTAGTGGTCGGCATTTTGTACGGTGCGAACACTTTCTTTCTCTTCAATAAAACTTGTGGGGAAGAAGCACAAAATGACTGTTTGAAATCACTCATTCGCTTGGTAGAAAAATTTAGTCCTGTTCCGGATGAGGGGGGGAATGCTTTTGATCCAAATGATGCAAACAAGGTATTGTGTAAGGTTCATTGTGATTTGAACGTCGATAGTTCATCCTTAGACTACAAAGCTGCCGTAAAGTTATTGACGGGGTTGCCTGATATGCTGAAAGAAAATGCAGTTCCAATAAAGTTTATTCTGTATCCACTGTACAAGATCGATTCAAGAGCAGCCAGGGTGTGCAAAGTTGTTAGCAATGGTCTTCTTTCGCAAGCACAGGAGTTCGTAGAGGGTTTAGTGCGCTGCTCCGCGCGCGCGAGCGAAATGGCAGCTGATCCACTGTGCGTGAGTTTCCCACAGTTTGCGGAGAAGTTTACGTGTTTCATACAGTTGCTCAATGAGTGTAAAGCGAATTTCCAAAAGGAGTTGGCGCGTGTGCTGCCTTTAATCCAAGGGGGTAGTGATGGGGAAAGCGTGTTGAAGGAAATGCTGCAGAATGAGGTAAGTTTGTCTCCCTTCAAGCTGACTGAGCTCGATGCCTGGTTGAAAAGCAAGCGAAAAGAGTTGAGTGCGGTGAGATTGTACATCAAGTTTCTGCCTGATGAGGTAGAAACCATTAAGTCGCAGGAAAGCTTGGATGACATCTTAATGGACCCAAGCGTGGATAATGTAGTTTACCTGACCTTTCGACTGGCAGGAAAGGAGGAAGGATATCTTAGCGCCCTCTCTCAGTACCTTGCCACGAAAAAGGAAGCCCNTCTACAGCATTCACCAGTGGTGTGACGATGACTCTGTCATGAAGTTTTTGAGGAGCAAGGCGAAGCTTTTCGCTGACTTCTTTCAGAGTAACCGTCAGTCAACATGCACAAAGTTCATTGTGACAGGATTTCCTGTTGGCTCTTCGGTTCAAGAGGAGACTAAAGCTGGTGGCACAGTCTTACTGTACGAGCAAGGTGCGCTTACTCAAGAAGACTTTGAGCCACCAAGTAAGCCTACAAAGCCACAATGCACCGTCGTCGATCACAATACCGTTAATGTCTCGTGGTCTCCGCCTCAGCATGGTGGGAACTGTGTGCAGAGGTACATTGTAAAATTCAAGAGGTTTCGTGAGAAGAACCCAGATGGAATCTACGATGAAGTGTACACAGAACAGGCGGATACTTGTGTCAGCATCAAGGATTTGGAACCCAATGAAACCCTCGAGCTCTGGGTCGCAGCGATCTGTGAAGTCGGCGTCAGTCCTGCAAGTGACAGTAGTGGAAAAGTCACTACTCTCCCAGCTAGTCCTCCGGGGAAGCCAGAAGCGTGCTCAGCATCAGCATCTAGCATTACCCTGGAGTGGAAACAACCAGCCCAATCAGGCAAACAAATCTCTATCCGAAGCTACACCATCGCATACGGGATTGTTGTTAAAGGGGCAGTCAACGATTGGCAATCAGAGATAGACACTGGAAGTTCCGAGACACGATTCATCGTACGTAAGCTCGACCCCAATACCTCCTACATGTTTCAGGTGGTTGCTATTTACGACTCGGGCGTGACTAGTCTCCCCAGTGACACCAGCGATGCCTGCAGTACTGATCCAGTTAGCCAACCGGGCAAGCCGGAGTGTAGCGATGTTACAGCGTCAAGCGTCACTATGAAATGGACAGACCCATCCAAAATAGGAAAAGGCGTGAAACTACGTGAATATTTCATAGAATACGCCGAGGTTGATAAGCAACACGGCCAATCAACAGGATATAACAGGGAGAATGCCTTGACCACTGGTCTGCATCACACGCTGGCAGATTTAATGCCAAACACGACTTACAGTTCTCATGTAACATTTGTCTGTGAGAGTGGCCATATGGCAGCAAGCGAACCCAGCGATCTCTTTACGACGCTTCCTGCTGGCCCACCAACCAATGTAGCAGTCAATCAGATATCAGCGACAAACATCGAGCTCACTTGGTCGGGTCCCACATTGATCAGTCAAGAAAAAGCTATAAGGTACTACCAGATCGGATACCAATTTTGTGACCCCAATGGTACCGTGGAGAGGGAAGTGAATACCAAAGACCCCTCCTGCACATTTACGATCAACGAAGCAGCACCCGAAATGTTGTTCAAAATACGGGTGACTGCCGTCTGTGGTGAGGATGAAACACTAGGCGAACATAGCAGCGTTGTTCTCTTCACCACCCGCAAGCTTCTAAAGCATGATATCCGAGTTAATGCAAAAGTTTTGCAACGAGGGAATCCCAAGAACAAAAAGCCATGCGTCTTGAAATTCCCATTACAAAAAGTGTGTCTAAAAGATCATAGCCACAGTTTCAGGTTTGGTGAGCCACCAAAATTGTCCGGTGTACAGCATAAAGTAATCATGTTGGTAGGTGTAACTGGCTCCGGCAAGAGCACCCTCATCAACGGGATGATAAATTACATCCTCGATGTTGAACGGAGTGACGACTTCCGCTTCAAGATAGTCGATGTAGATGAAGCCAGAGGGTCTTCCCAAGCCCACAGTCAGACTCAGGTACTCACATCCTATACCGTTTACCGCAACCATTTTCTCAGCCTGCCATACACTCTGACTGTAATTGACACACCGGGCTTTGGGGACACGCGAGGTATTGAAAGAGATAAAGTCATCCTTGAGCAAATACGGGAGTTCTTTTCGGACTCTGAATCCCATGGGATTGACCATATTGACGCTATTGGGTTCGTCGTTCAGGCATCACAGCCTCGGTTGACTCCAACTCAGAAGTATGTGTTTGACTCCATACTGTCAGTGTTCGGAAAGGATATTTCAGAAAACATACTTTTGCTTGTTACATTCGCCGATTCAAATCCTCCTCCCGTTTTGGACGCAGTTGAGGAGGCTGAAATCCCCTTCAATGGGAGCATATTCAAATTCAACAACTCCGCTCTTTTCGCAGGGTTAAGCAATAACAAGAGCCGCAAAATGAAAGAAGGCAAGAAAAATTCTGGGATTGACGACATGTTTTGGATTATGGGTAAGGAAAGCTTCGAAGATTTCTTCAGTGACATCCAGGGTCTGGAAGCTCGAAGTCTTGTCTTGACGAAAGCAGTCTTGGACGAACGAAAACGTCTCGAAGTAGCAGTGCAGGGTCTCCAACCTCAAATGCGCATGGGCTTCTGCAAGCTTGAAGAACTTCGAAGGGAGCATCAGCTTCTTGAGCAGCATGAAGCTGACATAGAGGCAAACAAGGAATTCAAAATGGAGGTTGAGGTTCCAAAATGCAAGAAGATTGACATCACTGGAAACTACATCACCAACTGCAACAAGTGCCATTTCACGTGCCACTATCCGTGTTACATAGCAGATGACGCAAAGAAGGCGGAATGTGCTGCTATGGATGAGGGGGTATGCCAAGCGTGTCCAGGTAAATGTCCGTGGGATGTGCATTTTAACCAACAGTACAGGTTCGAGTATTACACCGAGAAAGAAACGAGAACCTACGAAGAGATAGAAGCAAGGTACAAAGATGCCACAGGAAAGAAGATGACAGTGGAACAGGTAATCCAAAACCACACCGATGAGTTCAATGCAGTGCGGTGTAGAGTTTTTGCCCTGATAGGTGAGTCTCACAAAAGTGTAATGCGTTTGGAGGAAATAGCACTCAAGCCAAACCCACTGAGTGCTGTGGAGTACGTGGATATCTTGATAGAGAGTGAGAAAAACAGTGGCAAGCCTGGCTGGCAAGACCGAGTGTCTGCGCTACAGGATTTGCGAAAACAGGCAGACATCATTAGCAAGGTCAAACACGCTGACTATGACCCCTTCGAAAGGTTTACCAAGGATCTGAATTCTATATCTTTCAAGACGTCTAAGCACGAAAAGAAAACCGGCTGGTTCTCATGGTTTGGCAAAAAACCGTGAAAAACTCTGGCATCATTCTACTTGAATGTAACGACAAACTGTGACTTGGGCCAGTCCGTATGGCTTGGTAATACATCTTCATCAGTCACAAGTAATTTTTTGGAATCGACAGGCAAACACTATCAAAACCGATTCCTTCTGTTACAAGAAAAGTAAATCAAAAGTAAAAACATGCTGCAGGAACATAAATATAAGCTGTAGCCTTCCTCATTTTGGGAGGTTGTAAACTTGAGTATAATGATTCACAAAATAGAAAAACGTGGTAATAAAGATCATACAATGAATTTTCGAAGGTTTGTGGTTCAATGGCTTCTGGCGTAAGCAAGTGTCAAGAAGGAATGCTCGCGAAACATTAAATAATGCTGTATTCTTTGAAATGAAACTCACGAAGTTCTTCCCGAAATGCTATGGAAAGTAGTTGGGGAACCACTTTCAAACAATGGCGAAACTTTAACACGATAAACACTATACAGTGGATCAGCTAAACATTGGAAAAGGCCAAAAAAACGTAGTAAAATTTATGTGCTCCATTTAAGTTTTGATCGAGAGAGGGATTGATCTTGCTAAAAGTGGTTTTGGAGGTGCCCACTTCACTACTTAAAGCTGTTTAACAATTAGGCTATTGGCATTTAAGTTAAGTTGAAAACATCAAACTGCATTGTTCAAAGAGAAACTACATTTTGTTTCAGCACTATCTGGTGCGTGACTTTGCGGGACTTTGTAATAGATGTATACTATAGGTGTGTAAGAGGACCTAAAGCCATTAGATTTGTTTTTTATTGTAGTTTGCTGTTATACTTGTGTATATCGAAGAGCTCTATAATTGTATTATATTAGTCAGAGGCAACACTAAAAGATGGTTGGCTTGTGTATGTTGCATTTTTTCTAAGAGGAGCATGGAAGACATCGGCAATTTTGTTGGAACCGTGATCACGCTTCAGAAGAGCTTTCCTTTGGATACTTTGAGAAGTTTAACTATGATGGACAATCTTGTGGATGGGAGCTAGTTATTCTGTTTTACTAATCCTTGAGAAAATAGAATACGACTATTCTATTAAACCTGGACTCCTGGATCTGCTCCACAAGGTTTTCTTTTATACATATAAAATAAATTGTCTGTTTTTCTTCCAAACCATCTGAATACCACGCACTTAAAGATTTTTATTCGGTATGCTTATTTTATATCAAAACATCCGCTACAATTTCAAGTATGAGTGTACCGAGATATAGTAGATTAAAAAAGACACCATTGTTGCAAAACACCTTCAGAGGAAATATAATAGACATATTGCCCGCTTTTACAATTTCACACGATTATGTGCGAGGTTCTTATGTCTGTACCATTTGGAAAATTAACCATTCTGCCTGCAGAGATGTTTTTGTTTGGATTGTAAATTTGTTGGAGTGATTCTGACGTGTGCAAGTCACAAAGCATGTAATAGAAACACAGAATTATTCCCTAACAAAGCTTCAGCCAATACTGTGTCGAACAGCGGGAAACATTGAACACTGAGCTATTAAGATAGATAAATGACTTTTTTACTTCGTTGCCATGAGTTGCATACAGTTTTTCCTTGAATGAAATTTTTCTTGTAGATTTCCTATTTTACGTTTTTAGTTCCGATTTAACAAGACAATGCAAACATTTAGAACTATAGTTTACAAGGGTAGATGTAGGCCTATTCAAGGGTGTAGTTTAAGTGTGTAGTTGTGTAAGATGTGATAGATTGTAGCAGTTCATACTTCTGTAGTATCATGTACGCTCTAACTCGAGAATATTTAAAATCAAATCATTGTCTGGAGACAAAAATACGAAAATACGAGATTGCTCGGGGGTCATTCTTCTCTAAGACTGACCAAAAATTGAATGCGCTTCTATTCACTCTAAGTATCTGAAAATGTAATTCAAGTACTATATCCAATCCACTTTTGGCAGTAAATGATGATAGCGTGGCTAAACATGTCAAGAATAGGACATAGATTGTTTACTGTTTTCATATTCAGTATAAATTAACATTACATGTGACACCCCTAGAGTTGACCTAACCTGAGGGACATACCTTTGGTAGCTTAGACACGGATATAGACACACTTTTTGCTGCAATTTTGTTTTGCCTGTACACTTTTTACATTTATTTATAAAAGAAAACGAACACGGCTTTTAATATCTTCTTTCTTACATGGACAAATTTAAATACAATTTAAATGAAGTGAAGAGCCTCAATGCCCCGCCACTGTGTTACATCCACCATCTTGTCCTCACTTCCTTGTACTCGGCTTCTGTGGCCTGTGGCTGACTCCCTGTAGGTTTCCGTGTCCCACTGCCGCGGTCCAACCCTTCCGTCGCCACTGGTCGACCGACCCCCTCTTTCTTTCAACCAGGAGCTGGGCATTTCCTGTCTTTCCATATCTCAGACCAGTCTGCACGTAGTTTGATGTCGGAATACTTTCACAATCAGAGGAGACTCAAGGCAGTAAATCGTCGAGGCTGGCCTCTGCCCTCTCCTCGGAATCCAGCCATCAACTAATCACATCAACTCATATCTTTTACTTTTAAACCCAAAAGAAAATTCCAGCACTGCTGCACCTATTTTCAAAGAATCCAGAATGTACTGTGTACTGCCTCCCAAAAAATATTCATTATTCAGACCAATGCATTAGTCAGCCACCTCTACCAATAACAACTCAACTGGCGCCCAGCCCATCATTCTGGCAAGGTTGACTGATTTCAGGAATGTTTGGGTGTGGCGGCCTAAGAAGATAAAACCTTGTTTCACCACTAAACTACCATGTCCATATTCGCAACAAAACAGGGCTACGTCAAATGCAGCTTGTACGGTATTATTAATTTTAAGAGTAATTTCGAATATACATCACTCCTTGACAATAATAGATACATGTATATGCATTTGCTGCATTTACCATGCTTAGACACTTAAAATATCATACGAAGCATATGATAGGCTGCGTATACGTTAATAAATGATAAAATCACCAAACATTTACCACTCAACCTAAAACATTGTTATTTTTTTGCTATCACCATTTCGAAATGGTTTAATTGTAATACATATATAGTTCTTGAAGCTGGTGTTTACGATTCGTCAGTATAGCATGTATTTGTTTTAGCGATTTAGAAAAAGGTTTTTTTTTTGTTACGGACAATACTGTAATATTTGGAGTAGGACAGAGTACACTATTCTACCCTTTTTACACAAAGTAACAAAAACGAAGATTGTTCCTTTGACGAAATGCTTTATCGTGTAGTCACGAAACGTATACAGGTATAAAGGCCTTCTCCACAAAAGGTACTTACTTGACGCTTGACAGTGTGATGGGGGACTGTAGACAATCGACTTCAACACATTCTCAGTTTGAGAATATTCAGTTTCAGTCTCAAACAACATTTGAATATACAATTTGCATGATTTTGACGATGGAAAATATTCAGTCTATATCCGAAGGAAATGTAAATATTTTGTTTCCAAACTCTTATTCTAAAATCAGAAATGATTAGTCTAACTCGCACAAATTCACTGTCTGGAGTATATTTAAAGTTATAAACTCATCTGTAATTCGTATACATGAGTATTGTATAACGTACCAGGTTAGTGCCTGCCAGTTCAAATGCCATTTCGTAAGAAGCGTGCTTTTTGCGTCAGGCTGATACCGCTGTCTGTTGGGGCCGAGACATTTGGACTGTTGTTTGGCAACTGAAAATGTTAAAATTTACACGGTCCTCAGACTCTTTCGTTGCATATTTAACATTAATTATACTTACATACGTTTTGAATTGCAGAGTGATCTGTCTATGTTTGGTTGAAAACTGTTGAAATGTTGGATATGTTGCAGTTCACTCTATTTGGGAAGATAAAGATCTCATCAGCGTACAAAACAACTTTGACCAAAGGTCATTTAGCTTTAATTTGTGTGCATAAAAAGGAAAAAGAGGCCTGCAATAAGGAAAATTCACAAGTTACAAGCATGTTCAAATGATCCTGTTTAATGCCATAATGCTGTAGCTTGGTAGGTTAAGTATGCATGTATTATTAAATGAAGCGTAAGAATAAATGTGATATAAGCACTGACTGAAATTCAGTGATAAAGTAAGTAATGAAGTAAGCAACGTCTAGCACAATTTACCACAAACACTTAAGGGTGTGCATCTTTATATAGAATCTGGTTTAATTTCATATGTATATATATATAAATGTTTGACCATCGTAATGATCGTGCACTTATTATAATGTCTGCATGGTTTGAGTCATGAACACGTTCTGATAAATTAAAAAAACTATACCGTAATAGATGTAACTGTTTAGAATATATAGGTATTATTGTTTGTGTGACACTGAAGTAGACTGGAGTATAGTGTCCATGCTGCACTTACACAGAGTAACGAAATAAAGCCTTTTGTTTTACCAGATGCTTTATTTACGACTCATCGCATGCAGTCATAAAACGTATGCTTTTTGGAAACGTGGGCGTCGCGTGGAGGCAGGATGTACATTCTCAAACCTCAAAAAATGAAAAAGAAAACGAAAACAAACGAAAAAGGAGGAACGGGAATGAAAATCGCCAATATGCGTAAAAAATACTTCGGAATTGACCCATCAACAGTTACTTTGTCAGCTTTGATGCTAAGGAGAGTTTTTCTCCACCGGAAATAGCTGTGCCTCCTTCCTTGCGACGCCAATAACGCATTTGTACTTGAAAGTCATTCAATGTACTCTAAAACTGATCGGCGAATAGAACATTGGCTCGGTTACATCCTCAGCCTCAGAAAATTCAGTTCAATAACATTGTCCATTACAGTTTTGCGGTACAGGCATTATCGTATTTACCCTGCATATGTCTTAAATATTATTCAGACTTAATTGGACCGGATTTACTACATTGTATGTTTATCGTACTATACACGATATTTTAGTATCTTGAATTACAAGAATTTCAGTAATAATGTGGCTTCCGCTGTTTCATGCTTTTAATAATGCTTTGTTCCAGTGAGTAATTATGATCAGTATACTGATGTGGCTCTAGGCGCATTCTGAAGTACTATGTTACAAAAATTGGTCATAGAAAATTTTTATTAGTCGCGAATTGATCACGTGATATGCCAAAAGCACGCATGTAAACGATCGGGTGCATTAGCGATATTGCCACGCGACAAAAACAATGTTGGATAACGTGGATCTTTCCCACGGTTGATATGTCGACTCTACTGCGTTGTGAAACTGCGTTAACTTAGGTACGAGGATGTTAGCCGTGCTGGCATTACGCGTGCTCCCAGTTATGCTCTTAGAACGAAAGTAGCATCTTCTAATCACTGTTTCTACTGGGGTGCCATTGTTGTTTATAATTATAACTCTCATGTTGATGTCGCTTTCTATGCTGCTCTTCATTCTTGCCAATATTTGTCTCCGGAATTTCGTGTCATAATGCCTTTAAATTCAACCAGTCAATAAAAGACCCCGGTGCTTTATCATATCGGGTTTCCCAGTAAACCAGTTTGTAATATATCCTAGATTTCTCTCTGTTTAAAAAAAACAATACACACCCACAACCACACCCACACAGATCAACAAATGACACCACAGTCAATTTCAATTTTCCTTGTAATTTAGAACCTAATTTGCTCTTCAACTGTTTCAATTTGTCAAAGTGTTTTGATTTAGCTTGCAATAAAATATGCATATATAACAAATAAGACTGTTCCGGTGTACTCTGTGTCAAAACAATTGCTGCCTGATGTATGGTGTTTTGTTCACCCGAGGGGGCAAATGGCACTCGAGTCGAAGCCGAGGGTGCCATTTGAAGCATTTATGTCAGTAAAGCACAATATTTTTATGTTACTTATGTCATCGGGCAGTGAATGGACCAAACCTCGACTCCATTGGCTGCGTGCACGTTCCTTTAGATCGCGCATGGTGGGAACCAACATGGCGCGGCAAGATCTAACCCACGGGAACGAGGTTGTCATGGACGTTTCCCACGAAATATGCAGATTAGACAAGCGCATGCGTACTACAACCACTGATTGGCAAGTGCAGCCGTCGAGACTGTCTGTTAGCAGTTAAACCTTGCGAGTCGAAGGTCAACTTAGACCGTTTTACGTCCCTTTTCTGATAGTTCAGCACACTTTTCTTAAAACTAAATGCAGTCGCGAGGTTCTGAGGTTAGAAAGTAACAATTGTTGCCTCTAGCTTTGGCAAGCCTTCTCATGTCAAGCCCACAGAGCTGTAATATAAAACTAGTAGAGCAATAACTTTCTCCGCAAAATTCTGAAAGAATTTGACGCCGTCCTTGGGTGCAGACCAAAGATCTCCATTATAAAGATGGAGATCAATTATGATATTGTGTCAATGTTTTCGATGGGTTGATGGTGAATTCAGCGCATTTGATGTCATTTCAAGTCAGTGTTAATTTGAATCGGCAAATGCCGAAAATGGTTCGCACACTCTAAGTAACCAGACCCTTCCCACACACATCAGCAGGCATACGTAAAACCAGACAATCCTGGACAAACGTGTCGGGACAATTGGAAATAGCCATTGTACGCTCTCCAGCCCCCCCCCTCTTTGATCCACTCCCCCGCTCAATCTTGTCATGTCCAGCAGGAGCGCAGGCT